TTTGAGACGGAGTTTCGCTCTTGTTACCCAGGCTGGAGTGCAATGGCGCGATCTCGGCTCACCGCAACCTCCGCCTCCTGGGTTCAGCCAATTCTCCTGCCTCAGCCTCCTGAGTAGCTGGGATTACAGACACATGCCACCATGCCCAGCTAAGTTTTTGTAGTTTTTAGTAGAGACGGGGTTTCACCATGTTGACCAGGATGGTCTCGATCTGTTGACCTCGTGATCCACCCGCCTTGGCCTCCCAAAGTGCTGGGATTACAGGCTTGAGCCACCGCGCCCGGCCCTCTATTATTTACTTCTATGTAGATGTCATTATGATTAATAAAGTTTAAATTTTTTTTTTTTTTGAGATGGAATCTTGCTCTGTCACCAGGCTGGAATGCAGTGGCATGATCTTGGCTCACTGCAATCTCTGCCTCCCATGTTCAAGCAATTCTCCTACCTCAGTCTCCCAAGTACTGGGAATATACGTGTGCACTACCACACCCGACTCATTTTTGTATTTTTAGTAGAGACAGGGTTTCACGATGTTGGCCAGGATGATCTTGATCTCCTGACCTTGTGATCCGCCTGCCTTGGCCTCCCGAAGTGCTGGAATTACAGGCATGAGCACCCGGCCAAATTCATTCTAAGATAATTCATGTAGTAGTCATTAGTTTTTTTAACCTTCTCACTCCGTTATAGAATTCCTACCATGTGAGTCTTGCTGGGGGACAGAGTCCACCTCCCCACATCAAAGGTCACATTATCTTTTCTCCTGCCTTCTTGGCAGCCAGGACATGGACATGTGACTTGAGATCAGCCGACTAGAGATCTCACCTAGGACTAGGAAGCTGGAGTGAGTCACACAAAAAAGAGAAATCATTCTGGTAGTAGTGGAGAAAACAGAAGACACATCTAGCTTACAGGAGCAGCACGGCCAGCAATTCAGGTGACTCCTCTAGCAATGATCCACTTGGAGTTGCACATCAGTAGCACCCTCACTAGACACTTCCTAAGGCAAAGTTTTGTCTTTGGTCCTGCTGCCTGGCTTCTGTTTCTACTTGGCCAGAACTAGCTCAGGCACTAGGTAAGACAGGCTCAATCACTCACTGCCTGGAGCAGACAGAAGCTGCAGGTGTAAGGTGATAAGTATGAACTCCAGGAGGACAAACAATGGCTGATTTATCTGTGTCCTCAGCACCCAAGAAAGTGCCTGAGTCCAGAATTTGGAAGCTAGGCAGTTCTGGCTCAGGAGTTTACTCACATGGTTTGCAGATTGGCACTGGTTGTTGTTGGGAGGCCTCAGTTGCACTCCATGTGGAATTCTCCACAGGAGTTCTCATGACATAGTGACTGGATCCCCACAGAATGAGCAATCCAAGAGACTAAGGTAAAAGCAGCAATACCTTTTATGATCTAGCCTCAGAAGTCATCTACTGTCACTTCTGCCATTCTTTATTAATCACACCCATCAGCCCTAATTCAATATGGAAGGAAATTCTACAAGGGCGTGAATACCAGGAAGTGAGGGGCCCATGTTGGAGGCTGCTATACTTCACATGACCATTTACCCCTAAAACAAACCAAATGAACTACAAATAAAGTGAAAGCCATACATTCAGGTTGGTTTAATCAAAACCTCTTTGATGGACTTCTTGATCTTCAAAATTGTGATTGCCATCTGGCCCTCTCCACATTTGTTCCTTATCTATGAGGGGGTCCAGGATTCTCCTTGGAAGGAAGGTAGGCCCAATCTTAAGGATGCCTTTTGGTTCTCAGATCTCTAATTCTACAAAATAATCAGCAAAAATAAAGCTTTGAAGATATCTTTCAGGAGTTAACATTTACACTGGAATTTACAATTCAATAAAAACAGTGAGTCATTACAAGAATCATCTGCTTATTTATTTTACAGAGTAATGATTTAAATTGAGTACATTTGGGCACAGTAGATATTTGACATGAAAAGCAGTTGTATCAGACTGAGCATAAGAAATATAGCAACTCATCTTAAATGTAATAACTAGAAAATATTATTCTGTCTGATCATTTAAGTGTTACAAATCCTGAGAATGTTATACACTGAACAAATTAGGTACTACCTTATAATTAAATCTTGCTTGGAAAGAATCCTTTAAAAAATGCTCTGAGGTACCAAATCACCTATGTATTAAACGAGAGTCTTAGACATTATACAAAGAGTTTAAACAAATATATCAAACAGTGACAGGCCAGTGGCTCTTAAAGCAGCTATCAGTCAGGTTCAAGGACACATTGTTCCACAATTTCCCGTAAATTGGGGTTTTCCATTGCAGCTGCCACTCGCTCTTTGTCATTTATCTGCTTATTGACTGAAAAATACACAGACAAAAGTTAGCAGAAGAACTGTGTCAATATAGAGCACCAGACAGTATTTTTTATTAGCCTGCTGAAACAAAAAATTTAACTCCTTGAGAACTTGAAGTCATTTTTGGCTAATTACTCATAATATAATTTCTCATCTAGAAGGCAGACTTAAGAGAAAAATGTCTACTATAAGTCTACTACTTACCACATCTAGTGGTAATCATCTTTCTAGTCTTTGTCCATATACATATCTTTATACAGTTACATTCAGAGAAAATACAATTTTGAAAATCACTGGGTTTTTTCCCCATAAGCTTATATTTTAATCTACAGGGTTATTTAACATGGTAAAAGTCTTAAGTGTTCTAAACTAATTATGAAGACTATACTACAATGAACACCTTTAAACATATAGCCTTCTTTTTGGAAATATTCTCAAAAATGGGATTTTTCTTTTTTTTTTGAGATGGAATCTCACTCTGTTGCCCAGGCTGGAGTGCAGTGGCACGATCTCAGCTCACTGTAACCCCCACCTCCCAGGTTCAAGTGATTCTCCTGCTTCAGCCTCCTGAGTAGCAGGAACCACAGACACACACCACCACACCCAGCTAATTTTTGTATTTTTTAGGAGAGACAAGGTTTCACCATATTGACCACGTGGGTCTCAAACTCCTGACCTCATGATTCACCCGCCTTGGCCTCCCGAAGTGCTGGGACTACAGACGTATGCCCAAGAATATGAATATTTTTATGGTTTGATTTATATCATTGATTTACTTCCCAAAATTACTCACCAATTTACATTGTCAACGTCAATGTATGAGCTATCAGTTTGGCGGCAATACCTGGTACTATTATTATTATTATTATTATTATTCTTTGAGACAGTGGTGCAATCATAGCTCACTGTAACCTCCAACTCCTGGGATCAAGAAATCCTCCTGCCTCAGCCTCCCACAGGCATGAGCCATCACACCCGGCTAATTTTCAAATATTTTTTGTAGAAGCAGGGTCTCACTATGTTGTCCAGGCTAGTCTTGAAATCCCGGCCTCAAACCCCTGGCCTCAAGGCATTCTCTTGTGTTGGCCTCCCAAAGTGCTAGGGTTATAGGTGTGAACCATCATGCCCAGGCAATAGCTGCCATTACTTAATAAAAACAAATATACATATAAACATTCATAAAATAGGAGGTGGTAAATGGTTCAATATTATTGTTATAATTTGCATTTCCTTGTCTAATAGGAAAATAGAACATTTTCAATGTGTATATATTAGTTCTTGCATGAATTTCCTGTTCATGTCTCTATTAACCTACCAGATCTTTTTTAAAAATTAGTTTGAATGGCTCTTCATATAATAAAGGTATTGTCCCATTACGTTTTCTATAATTAGCTAACAGCACTCTTAACAGAAGAGTTCAAAAGAGAGACATCCATATTTTTAATGTGGATTGACTTTTCTGGGATGCTGCTAAAATGTCTCATATAGAAGACAAACACACATACGCATTACATATTCCTGTGTAAATAATTTCAATTCAGTTTCTTCTTACTACAATGTAGGCTCCACAAAGGCAGGAATATATCTCAAAAGTTGAACTGTACCCACACATAGAAGGCTCTTAGTAAATATTTACTAAACGAAAAACAGGAATCATAAGACTTAATACTATTGCTGTTGTAAAATCCTATCATTTGAGGAATTTCAAAAGGATAGCCTGAGTGGATTTAGGGTACCTAAACGCTTATTTTTTTAATCAGAGGTAGAAGCCCTCAGCTCATGGGGTTTAAAGAAATTTAGCTCATTGTGTGGTGGCCCATGCCTGTAATTCCAGCACCTTGGGAGGCTGAGGTGGGCGGATCACGAGGTCAGGAGTTCTAGACCAGCCTGGCCAACATGGTGAAACCCCATCTCTACTAAAAATACAAAAATTAGCTGGATGTGGTGGTGCATGCCTGTAGTCCCAGCTACTTGGGAGGCTGAGGCAGAAGAATTGCTTGAACCCAGAAGGTGGAGATTGCGGTTGCAGTGAGGTGACATCATGCCAGTGCACTCCAGCCTGGGCAACAGAGCAAGACTCTGTCTCAAAAAAAAAAAAAAAAAGAAAGAAATTTAGCCCACAAAGAGTGTAATAATCTACATGTCTGAAACTATAGCTAGGACATGATTTTAACAGTTTTCATGACAGTAACCTAAAAAGTTTCCTGGATGGGCTATTCCTCTGGAAGCAGCAGGGTTCCCTGCTTCCCTCTCTACAGCTCTCATCTATGTAGGAGATTTTGTGTGTCTTTCTCCAGCCCTGGGTATGCCTTTCTGAGTCTTCTGGGTATCTATCTGACTGTTTCTCTTACTCCATTATCAATCATCTCTTTCTTCCATTCCTCTGATGAAACTTACGTACAAATGCCTTTTAAATGTATTTCTCATTACTTGCACTCTATCATTTGTAGATTTAAAACATTGAAATTCTGTTTTTAATTTAACACATGGATCATACAGAACGTTTTGTCGCCAGGCGCGGTGGCTCAAGCCTGTAATCCCAGCACTTTGGGAGGCCGAGACGGGTGGATCACGAGGTCAAGAGATCGAGACCATCCTGGTCAACATGGTGAAACCCCGTCTCTACTAAAAATACAAAAAACATTATCTGGGCATGGCGGCGCGTGCCTGTAATCCCAGCTACTCAGGAGGCTGAGGCAGGAGAATTGCCTGAACCCAGGAGGCGGAGGTTGCGGTGAGCCGAGATCGCGCCATTGCACTCCAGCCTGGGTAACAAGAGTGAAACTCCGTCTCAAAAAAAAAAAAAAAAAAAAAAAAAAGAACGTTTTGTCTTTTGCTTTTTCCCAAACCCCACTTCGGCCATTTTTAAGTAGCTACTGAGTGACTTCTCTCTGTAGGCCAGAGGTTCTGTATATAAAAAAGTTTCTCTACCCCTGTTCTAATATACTAACCCAGAGAGACAGCACCTACCCCAAGGCTCACTAAAGCTCTACTTGCTAGACCCAATTTCAAGTACACAGCTCTCTTATCCTGCCACCAAAGAAAAGCAGCCTACTTAGAGCTCATAAGTCAAGGTCCCTAGAGCTGGATATTTACAGATGTGTAGCCTCTGGCCTAAACCAGTCAACACCCATGAGCTCTAACGCACTCGGAGTCCCATGCAAAAATTCCTTCCCTGAAATGCCTAGGTTTCTCTACCAGGAAAGAAGAGCTAATAACTAATTGTGTACTTTTTTTTTTTTAAAGTAACCCAGTAGATACTTGGCTGGTAGAAGAATCCAATATCCAAGAAAAAATACTATCTGAAGTTGTTTTTCAATTATATTTCAACGTCACTTACTGTCTTCTTCTGTTGAGTGGGTTCCTTCAGAAATGTAGATTTCCAACTAGAAAGGGAAAAAGAAAGTCAAAGAAAAAACATTAGAGCATTCTAAGATGAGAGGGTGAAGTGGAATGTATAGTGAATCAAACATCTAGGGATGAGGGTCCAAAACCGGGAGTCTTGCTGTGTTCACCAAGCTGGAGTGCAATGGCAGGATCTCGGCTCACTGCAATCTCCGCCTCCCGGGTTCAAGCAATTCCCCTGCTTCAGCCTACTGAATAGGTGGGACTACAGGCACGTACAACCACATCTGGCTAATTTTTTTTTGTATTTTAGTAGAGACGAGATTTCACCATGCTGGCCAGGATGGTCTTGATCTCCTGACCTCATAATCCACATTCCTTGGCCTTCCAAAGTGCTGGGATTACAGGCATGAGCCACTGTGCCCGGCCTTTTTTTTTTTTTTTTGAGATGGAGTCTCGTTCTGTCACTCAGGATAGAGTATAGCAGCGCAACCTCAGCTCACTGCAACCTCCACCTCCTGGGTTCAAGCAAGTCTCTTCCCTCAGCCCTCAGCCTCCCAAGTAGCTGGAATTACAGGCGCACACCACCACGCTCAGCTAATTTTTGTATTTTTTTTTTTTAGTAGGGATAAAGTTTCACCATGTTGGCCACACCGGTCTCAAACTCCTGACCTCTAGTAATCCACCCACCTCAGCCTCCCAAAGTGTTGGGATTACAGGCATGAGCCAACATGCCTGGCACCCCCCAATCCTGTTTCTAACATCAGAGACTTAGGGACGAATCCTCCATATCCTTCTCTAAAACAAGGGCTGAAATGAGTAGGATTTTTTATTTTGGTCACCTGGGAATGGCCTACAGGTGGTACTTCCATTAATTTTTTTTTAAATTCTTTCCCAAGGTAGAAATTTTTTTTTTTTGAGACGATGTTTCGCTCTTGTTACCCAGGCTGGAGTGCAATGGCGCGATCTTGGCTCACCGCAACCTCCGCCTCCTGGGTTCAGGCAATTCTCCTGCCTCAGCCTCCCGAGCAGCTGGGATTACAGGCACGCGCCACCATGCACAGCTAATTTTTTGTAGTTTTAGTAGAGACGGGGTTTCACCGTGTTGACCAGGATGGTCTCGATCTCTTGACCTCGTGATCCACCTGCCTCAGCCTCCCAAAGTGCTGGGATTACAGGTGTGAGCCACCGCGCCCGGCCTGAATTTTTTTTTTTTAATGAATACACAAAAATACTGTTTTACACAAATAAGATCTCATACATGTTGTTTTACTTAAGAATATCTCTCTTCTGCACTTTACTTCTTCCCAACTCAGTATCTAAACTTCCTCCTGCCCTGCCACTGACTCAGGAAATCTACAATAACAATCTAGTGTAGTTTCTTCCATATTGTTCTCTACCCACATAATCTAACACAGATTTTACACACACACACCCAAATACCAAAGTTGGATGTTTCTTTACATTGCTCGTTTTACAAAAATGGGATCACGACACACAGCTTTTAGCATCCTCCTTTTCTCATTCATTATTATCTTGCTAAATTTATTCTCAAGTATAATACTGGTTAAGCTACCCCTCCTGGCCCTGCTGCACCCCTACACATGAGCTACCCTCCAAGACCCAGAGCTTTAGAGACAACCTACAAAATTATTGCAAATCCTGTGGTAGAGAGAGTATGCTGTCATAAAGACTTCTACTTTCCAGAGAACATTGAAACATATGAACTAATTTGTATTTACTTATTTACTACTGAGATAAATATTTCTCATGAGAAAAATCATAACTTATTATTATAGCTAAACGGAACCTTAAAGATCATGGCACGATCTTGGCTCATGACAGCCTCGACTTCCTGGGCTCAGGTGATCCTCCCACCTCAGTTCCCACACTCCCACCTCTCTCCATCCCCATCTCTATTTTTTTGTAGAGACAGGGTTTCGCCATATTGCTCAAGCTGGGCTTGAATTCCTGAGCTCAAGTGATCTGCCTATCTTGGCCTCCCAAAGTACTGAAATTATAGGCATGAGCCAATGCACCTGGACCCAATCTATTTAAAAACAAAACAAAACAAAACAAAAACACCTTTCCCCTAGTGGCAAAACACTCTTATTCTAGACCTCAAAGCAACAGACATAGAATCACTCTATACTGATTTACTTCAGTTTAAGATTATACAGGACTCATTATTCTAAAAATGGTAAAGGGGAAGAAGCAGCATTTATACAGCTATTCCTATAGGACCTATACCTCAGGGTAACCAAACAGTTGGTGAGGGTAGCTGTCACCAATAATGGGACAAACTGAATTTATAGGCATCTGATGTGATGCAATAAGGACAAATTTATTTGGTATTCTTGCCTAAAACGCATAACCTGAATCTAACCAGGAAACATCAGGAAACTCTATTTGAAGGACAATCTATAAAATATCTGGTCTACATTCTTCAAAAATATCAAGATTATGAAAGACAAAGGCTAAGGAACTACTCCAAATTAAACGAGACTAAAGAGATATGACAACCAATGCAATGTGTGATGGAGAAGAGGAGCAGAGACAGGAGGAGGGACCGCCGTGAAGGATATTACTGGATGACGGGGGAAATTTGAATACATGCTACAGATTAGATGCCAGTATGTATCAATGTCCTGGTTTTGAAATTTGAACTGTAGTAATGTAAGAGAATGTCCTTGATTTCAGGAAATACATCCTATAGTATTTAGAGTAAGGGGGCATTACATTTGTACTCAAATGTTTCCAAAAAATGTGTGTGTGTGTGTGTGTGTGTGTGTGTGTGTGTGTGTGTGTACATATATGAAGAGAAATTAATGATAAAGCAAATATGGCAAAATGTTAACAATTAGTGAATCTGAATCTGGGTGAAGGATATATGGAATTTCTTTGTACTGTTCTTCACTATTTTATTTATTTTCTTTCATTATTTTCACTCCAAATAAAAAGTTAAACATTATAATTAAAACAGTTAAAAATGGAAAATAGAATAAAATTTACAGGGCATCATAAACCACTAGCATAATTCATCAATTTACTCAATTTAAGACATATTTATTGAGCTCCTGCTTATGTATAAGCAGGAACACAGAGATGTACCATATATGAATTTTGACCTCAAGAAGCTGACAATTGGTCAGGCGTGGTAGCTCATGCCTGTGATCCTAGCTCTCTGGGAGGCTGAGCTGGGTGGATCACTTGAGGTCAGGAGTTTGAGACCAGCCTGGCCAACATGGCAAAGACCCATCCCTAATAAAAATACAAAAATTTAGCCAGGCATGGTGGCATGCGCCTGTAGTTCCAGCTACTTGGGAGGCAGGAGAATTGCCTGAACCCAGGGGGCGGAGGTTGCGGTGAGCCGAGATCGCGCGATTGCACTCCAGCCTGGGTAACAAGAGCGAAACTCCGTCTCAAGAAGAAAAAAAAAAAGAAAAGAAAAGAAATCAGGACTGGTAGTATGGAAAGGTAAATACAAAAAATAAAGATTAAAAAAAGAGAAAAAATTTTTAAAAGATAAATCAAAATTAATTTTAAAAAAGAGAAAGAAATCAGAACTGACATCATGGAAAATAAAAAAGTAATTAATTAAGCCTTAAAACAAGTGTAGAATTTGGCCAGGCACAGTGGTTCATGCCTGTAATCCCAACACTTTGGGAGGCTAAGACAAGACAATCATTTGAACCCAGAAGTTTGAGACTAGCTTGGGCAACAAAGAGAGACCTCATCTCTACCAAAAATTAAGAACAAATTAGCCAGGCATGGTGGCGCACCTGTAATCCCAGCTACTTGGGAGGCTGGGATGGGAGGATCACTTGACCCTGGGAGATTGAGGCTGCAGTAAGCAGTGATCACACCACTGAACTCCGGCCTGGAAGAAAGAGCAAGACTCTGTCTCAACACCAAACAAAAAAGATGTGTAGGATTTGAACGTATGAGATGGGAGGAAGGGAAATCCAAGTAGATAGGTAACTCTGTGTAAAGGCTAGGTAACAGCAAGGTAGAGAAGGCAATTACAGGAGACAGTAAGAGACAAGGCTGAATCATCCATGAGCTATAGCCAATTACCATGAATTAACTGTGATATCCATATTCTTGCCCAATAGTAAGGTTAAAAACATCTTCCTTAGATATCACACCGAAAGCACAAGTAAAAAAATTAAAAACAAATTAGACTTTATCAAAATTTAAAACTTTTGGCCAGGTGTGGTGGCTCACGCCTGTAATCCCAGCACTTTGGGAGGCCGAGGCCGGTGGATAACAAGGTCAGGACAGAGACAATCCTGGCCAACATGGTGAAACCCCAGTTTTACTAAAAACACAAAAATTAGCCAGGTGTGGTGGTGGGCGCTCAGTCCCAGCTACTTGGGAGGCTGAGGCAGGAGAACCACTTGAATGCGGGAGGCGGATGTTGCAGTGAGCTGAGATCACACCACTGCACTCTAGCCTGGCAACAGAGTGAGACTCTAAAAATAAAAATAAAAATAGGGCTGGATACAATGGCTCACGCCTATAATCCCAGCACTTTGGGAGGCCAAGCCGGGAGAATCACAAGGTTGAGATCGAGATCATACTGGCCAACATGGGGAAATCCCGTCTACTAAAAATACAAAAATTAGCGGGGTATGGTGGTACACACCTGTGATCCCAGCTTCTCAGGAGGTTGAGGCAGAAGAATCACTTTAACCTGGGAGGCAGAAGTTGCAGTAAGCTGAGATCGTGCCACTGCACTCCAACCTAGTGACAGAGTGAGACTCTGTCCCAAAATAAAATAAAATAAAATAAAATAAAAATAAATGAAAAAATAAGACACCCTTATTTTAAAGTGAGCAAAGGATCTGAATAGACAGCTCTCCAAAGATATACAAATGGCCAAAAAGCACATAAAAAGGTGCTCAACATTATTAGCCATCAGGGAAATGCAAATCAAAACCACCATGACAGCAGGGTTTGGTGGCTAACACCTGTAATCCCAGCACTTTGAGGAGGCCGAGGCAGGCGGATCAATTGAGGCCAAGAGTTCAAGACCATCCTGGCCAACATGGTGAAACCCTGTCTCTACTAACAATACAAAAAAAATTAGCCAGAATGGTGGTAACATGCCTATAATCCCAGCTACTTGGGAGGCTAAAACACGAGAATCGCTTGAACCCAGGAGGCGGAGGTTGCACTGAGCCAAGATTATGCCATTGCACTCCAGCCTGGGCGACAGATCAAGACTCTGTCTCAAAAACAAACAAAAAAACACTATGAGATATTACTTCACACCCACTAGGATGGCTGTACAAGGATAATAATAAGTGTTAGCAAGGACGTGGAGAAATGGGAACCCTCATACACTGCTGGTAGGAATGCAGAATGGTGCAGCGGCTGTGGAAAACAAACAATTTCTCAAAATGTTAAACACAGAGTTACCATACGACCAGGCAATTCCACTCCCAGGTAGAAAAGAAATGAAAACATATGCCTACACAAAAAGTTACACATTAATGTTTATAGCAGTATTACTCATAATACACAAAAAGTAGAAAACACCTAAATGCCTATCAACTGAATAACCAATAAGCAACTGAGTAACGGACAAGCAAAAACCACTGAACTGGTACACTTTGCATAGGTGAATTGTGTGGTGTGCGGTATTTGAACATATGAGATGGGAAGGAGGGAATTCCAAGCAGATAGGGTATAAAGCTGTTTTATGACAACAAAAACACATCTTCCTTACCTTATGTTTAAATGGTAAACATCGCTGAAGTTTTACTCTTAAGCATAGCCCTGTGGAGGGAGAAGAAAAAACCACCTCCAATTATCTCTTTATTGCTTCTTACTGGTTCTTGAAAAAGCGTACAGCTGTGTTTATGCACCCCCAAACAACACAGTCGCTGAAAACAGCTTTGGCTCAATCCAAAGCAGAGCTCCTTTAAGCCTGAAACCACACTAAAAAATTTAACATGTAATCTTACATATTCCTTAGGATAATCCAATGAGCTATTACTAACCCCCTTCTACACATTATTAAACCAAGGTCACAATGTAACTTCCTCAAGGTCACTGAGTTACTATAGCAGCAGATTTGGGATTGGAACCTAAGACCACTGGAAAGCCCAGGCCACTTTTACTACATCAGTTCGCCTTCCAGCAAAAGTCAATTAATTCAGTAAACTTTTTTTTTTTTTTTTTGAGATGGAGTCTCACTCTGTTCTCCAGGCTGGAGTGCAGTGGCGCGATCTCGGCTCACTGCAACTTCCGCCTCTCAGTTCAAGCAATTCTCCTGCCTCAGCCTCCCAAGTAGCTGGAATTACAGGCATGTGCCACCATGTCTGGCTAATTTTGTATTTTTAGTAGGGACAGTTTCTCTATATTGGTCAGGCTGGTCTTGAATTCCCAAGCTCAGATGATCTGCCCACCTTGGCCTCCCAAAGTGCTGTAATTACAGGCATGAGCCACTGCACCTGGCCAGTTAATTTTTTATATTTTTGGTAGAGATGGGGTTTCACCATGTTGGCCAGGCTGGTCTCAAACTCCTGACCTCAAGTGATCCACCCACCTCGGCCTCCCAAAGCGCTGGGATTACAGGGGTGAGCCACCGTGTCCTGTCAATTCATTAAGCTTTTTTAAATGCCCCACAACAGGCCAGGCCACCCAAAAATTAAAACCAAGAAAGTCATTTGAAAAGGGCCATAAAAAGCCTCTCAAATTTGTAATCCTTTATGCCTGCAAGGTACAAATAGAGCAATTTCTTTAAAACAAGTTCCACTGAAGTTCAGTTTATCATCCCATGCTAGGACACATCAACAACAAAATCTCAAACCACAGCACAACACAAGATATAATTGTTAGACTGCCTATCTTTTAGGAAGGTGTTCACTTGTTTTTGGTTTTCTAAGTACCATTTGGTTTTCTAAGAGAATTTTTTGAAAAATCCCCAAATACGGAAAAGGATTAGATGAGATATAATGAGGTGGTGGCTGCCACAGGGTCGGTATGTATGTAGGTATGTATTTATTGAGACGAAGTCTCATTCTGTTGCCCAGGCTGGAGTGCAGTGCGCGCTCTGGGCTCACTGTAACCTCCATCTCCCTGGTTGAAGCAATTCTCTTGCCTCAGCCTCCTGAGTAGCTGGGACTACAGGCACATGCTGCCATGCCCGGCTAATTTTTTGTTTTAGTAGAGACGGGGTTTCATCGTGTTGCCCAGGCTGGTCTCGAACTCCAGAGCTCAGGCAATCCACCTGCCTCAGCCTCCCAAAGTGCTGGGATTACAGGCGTGAGCCACCATGCCGAGCTGTATTTACTTAATTATTTTTTTGAGACAGAGTCTTGCTCTGTCATCCAGGCTGGAGTGCAGTGGCGTGATCTTGGCTCACTTCAACCTCCACCTCCCAGGTTCAAGAGATTCTCCTGTCTCAGCCTCCTGAGTAGCTGGGACTATAGAAGCATACCACCACACCCGACTAATTTTGGGGGTTTTTTTTGGTTTCTTTTTTTGATATGGAGTCTCACTCTGTCGCCCAAGCTGCAGTGCAATGGCACAACCTCGGCTACCGCTCAGCTCCCACCACCACTACTACCCACTAATACCATTATAACTATTCATTTATGTATTAATATTATTCAGGTATATGCAATCAAATAAAAGTGTATTTTTTTTTGCCTTTTTTTTACACAAATAAAAACAAAATGATACTTGCTTTTACTTCTTTTATTTTTTTTTTTTGGAGACGGAGTCCCACTCTGTCGCCAGGCTGGAGTGCAGTGGCGTGATCTTAGCTCGCTACAACCTCCAACTCCCTGGTTCAAGTGATTCACCTGCCTCAGCCTCCCAGGTAGCTGGGATTACAGGCATGTGTCACCACGCCCAGCTAATTTTTATATTTTTAGTAGGGATGGGGTTTCACCATGTTGGCCAGGATGATCTCAATCTCCTGACCTCGTGATCTGCCTGCCTCAGCCTCCCAAAGTGCTGGGATTACAGGTGTGAGCCACTACACCCGGCCCTTACTTTAACTTTTTAACAGTATGTCATAGAGATCTCTCCGTATCAGTACATGCAGAGTTTCTTCATTCTATTTTTTTTATAGCTACATAGTATTCCATTGTTTACATTGATTATTTAATCAATCCCCTACTCATGAACATTTGGTTTGAAATAAAATCCCTTTATAACAGTCGTATGTTTAAAGACATTTATTGTACCCGCTAACAAATCCAAAATACTAGGAATCCAGCCTCCTACCAGGACTTCTGCCCAAACTACATAGAAGCCAGTAGAATAGCTGAAAGGAGATGGTGATGGCAGCAATGCTAGTCTGACACCACCCACTTCAACCTCCAGAACTGAGAAAAGGCACTGGCCCACATGCACTCTGCATTAATTGTGGGCATGTAAACCTGGGAGAGGTAGCCTGACATAACTAAAGGAGAAGCAGATTTGGAGTAAAGAGACCTAGGTATGAGCCTTAGTTTCACCATTTCCTGGCTACCTGATTCTGTGTAAGTCACTTAAACTCTCTGAGCTTCAGTTTCCTCATAGGTAAAATGAAAATAACAGTATTTTAATTCACAAGCTAACTGTGAGGACTACAGAAGATGAATACAGGAAAATACTCTGTAAACCATGAAGTGTAATACATACACCATGTGGTTTTTCCATAATTATGCAAGTTGTTATTATGGGTCGATATCAGCAAGAATAATTTAGAATTTATATAAATATACACATATGTACATAAAAACTTACCAATAAGAGTCGCCAAAGAGCAATGAGGTACTGTTGGCGTGAACCTGATAATAACCAGATATTCTTCTTCATTTATCTCCTGAACTTCCACACAACTTTCCGAGACCACTTCCAGTTCTTCTAAAGTACTGGGCTTTTCTGGGTCCCGGATCGTTCTAATCAAATCTAAAGAGGCATCAGAGATAAAATAGTCTATTAAAACATGACCACTCTAAATAAAGATGATTTTGCCAGGCCTAATTTAAGCACTGACTCCTCTCTTTTTTTTTGAGACGGAGTTTCATTCTTGTTGCCCAGGCTGGAGTGCAATGGTGCAATCTCAGCTCACCGCTACCTCCGCCTCCTGTGTTCAAGCCATTCTCCTGCCTCAGGCTCCTGAGTAGCTGGGATTACAGGCAGGCGCCACCATGCCTGGCTAATTTTGTATTTTTAGTAGAGAAAGGGTTTCTTTATGTTGGTCAGGCTGGTCTTCAACTCCCAACCTCAGGTGATCCACTCCCTCAGCCTCCCAAGTGCTGGGATTACAGGTGTGAGCCACCGCACCTGGCCTAAGCACTGACTTCTCACGTTAAAGCAAATACTACAGCAACTCCTAGGTTTCTGACAGGATGTTTCATTACTGCTTTCCTCTTAAGAAAACTGTTTTCTTGGATTATTATAAGACCATATCCAGTTTCTCAAATTGGACATTGCAGAGAAAATATAACAAGAATGGAAAAAGCGTCATGGAAGCCCAAGAGGAAGAAATAACTTTCGGCTTGAAAGAATGTGGTAACAGGCTTCATAGGAGTGGAATGTGAATCAAGCCTTGAAAAACAGGTAACATTTCAATATTTGACATTTAAAGTGAAGGAAAGTAGCTGGGCATAGTGGTTCACACCCATAATCTGCACACTTTGGGAGCTCCGAAGTTCAAGACCGGCCTGGGCAACATGGTGAGACCCCACCTATACAAAAAATACACACAAAAATTAGCCAGGTGGGTGATGCAGGCCAGTGGTCCCCAATACTCAGGAGGATCACTTGAGACTAGAAGGCAGAGGTTGCAATGAGAGGCAAGATCGTGCCAGTGCACTCCAGCCTGAGTGACAGAACAAGACTCTGTCTCAAAAAAAAAGAAAAAGGCCAGGCATGGTGGCTCACACCTGTAATCCCAGCACTTTGGAAGCTGAGGCAGGCAGATACTCTGAGGTTGGGAGATCGAGACCAGCCTGACCAACATGGAGAAACCCTGTCTCTACTAATAATACAAAAAAAAAAAAAAATTGGCTGGGCATGGTGGCACACACCTGTAATCCCAGCTACTTGGGAGGCTGAGGCAGGAGAATCGCTTGAACCCAGGAGGCTGAGGTTACAATGAGCTGAGATTGTGCCATTGCACTCCAGCCTGGGCAACAAAGCAAAAACTGTCTCAAAAAAGAAAAAGAAAGAAAGAAACTGATGCCTGGGCCCCAATTCCAGAGACTCTGATTTAATTGGTTTGCTGGCCTTTGAGTTTTAAAAACTCCTCAGGTTGTTCTTAGGTGCAACCCAGTGTGAGAATCAGTGGTATAAAGAAAAACAGACCCAACAGATCCATGCAAAGCACCTAATTTAGGGATCAGAATGAGAAATAAATGCAAAAAGAACTAGAGAAGGGAAGAGAAGGATGGTTAATAATATTAAATGCTGCAGAAAAATTCAGGCTGATGACAGCTAAAACAGGTCTTTCATTTGTCACCCTGTCAGCTGTAAGAAAACAATTTCAGTAGAGAGGGGGAGGGCTGAAGCCAGCTTGCAAAAGGGGAAGCAAGTGGGAACTGAAAATGTCTTCCTAGGGTCTTGGCTGGGAAGGGAGGAACAGAGAAAGGACAGTGGCTTTATAAGGAACCTAGAACAATGACAAGGATAAAGGAAGCTTTGAGAAGATAAATTGAATATATAAGTAGGGAGGAGAGGAGACTGGTAAAATAAGCAGAAGGGGATGGGATTAATTATGTAGGAGTCTAGGTTGGCCTTGGAGAAATAGGATTTCCTTCTTACCCTGAGGCTGGAGAAAGAGATAAAGGAAAAGACAACAATAAAGAGAAATGGTGATGGGAGGCTGAGGCGGGCAAATAATGAGGTCAAGAGATCGAGACCATCCTGGCCAACATGGTGAAACCCCGTCTCTACTAAAAACACAAAAATTAGCCGGGCATGGTTGCACATGCCTGTAGTCCCAGCTTCTCGGGAGGCTGAAGCAGGAGAATTGCTTGAACCTGGGGGGCAGTGGTTGTTGCAGTGAGCTGAGACCATTACTGCACTCCAGCCTGGCAAAAGAACGAGACTTCGTCTCAAAAAAAAAAAGAAATGGTGAAGTAGAAAAGAAAGAAGCAGAATTTTACATAGAATGTGCTTGAGGTTCTATAATCTTAAGTTTTGTTCTATTATTTATCACACAAAATTACATACAATCAGAAATGCAACTGGGAAAAACAAAAACAAACTCTATTTTCTCTTTAATTTTCTCCTGGGTTTGTCACTTAGTTAGAAACAGAATTTTGTCAAGCATGGTAGCTCACGCCTGTAATTTCAACACTTTGGGAGGCTGAACAAGTGGGTCACTTGTGGTCAGGAGTTCGAGACCAGCTTGGCTAACATAGCGAAAATCTGTCTTTACTAAAAATATAAAAATTAGCTGGAGTGGTGGCACGTGCCTGTAAACCCAGCTACTCAGGAGGCTGAGGTAGGAGAATCACTTGAACCCGGAAGGCTGAGGCTGCAGTGAGCCAAGACTGTGTCACTGCACTCCAGCCTGGGTGATGGAAGAGACTGTCTCAAAAAATAAATAAATAAATAATAAATAAAAGAAACAGAATTTGAAAATATAGGCAAGAAAGAGGATAAAGTTTCTCTTTCACAGAGTTGTGTTATCATGGGACTTAGGGAAACAAGTGTTTTCTGAAAAGGAATTTTCTGCCTCTCATACTTGAATTATATTTGTATTCTATGGTTAGATCTCTCAATATTATATCCGGTATTTTTGGTTTTCAAAAACAATACAAAATAATTTTTTTAAAAAGTTGTAAGACAACTGTGAAGTGGTGGAAAGTACATCAAGTTTAGAAGCAGAAGGCATAGCCTTTAGTTTTTGCTCTGTTTCTTACTGACAGTGTGATCTCTAGGTAGTTCTTTAAGTCTTTGTTTCCTCATTTGTACAATAAAGATGGCCCCAAAGGCTAAATAGAAGATATTTAATGTATAACATGGAAGAGTGTGTGTATACAAGGCCTTGCTACAAGAAGACAATCTCATTCTCTTCTTTTGGGGACCTCTGCTTACTGATTTTGCTGGAGTGAGTGGCTGTGACCTTGGGCCAGTCCCCAACTCGACTGTCACCCACCAGTGCCCTCTGTGGTAGCAGGAGTGCGTGTCCAGGAGCTAGAGGAGGTTCTAGTAGTGCACTCAGGCCAGCTTTGCTTTCTAACCAAACACCCTAGACTTGTGCTCTGCCCACAAGTCTTGGAATAGACTCTAAGACGTAAGGCCGTACGTGGAGAATTAAGCATTTAAGACCTCCAGGGTCTGCTTGCCCCAGGTTTACGAAGAGCACAGTTCCTAAAAGACCACTCCCGCGTGGCTTAGGACCTCGAAGAAAGCGCTTGCTACGCTCCGGACAAGATGTGGCACACACACACACACACACACAAAACAGGTCTCCCCTCCCAGCCCTCAGGTGAGGCCGTCATCCCCGCACCCCCCACCTCCCTCCGGCACCTATAACGCCAAATGCTGTGCTGGGTAAAATTAATTACCATAAACCTCTAGCGCTTTCTCTTCCATGATCCGGGGCTGCCGGGCAGCTCCCGGCTCAGAGAGGCCCGAGAGCCACAGGACTCTGCTCAGCGTCCAGGAGAACAGCCCAGACACCCGCTGCATCCTCACGCTCAGCCATCCCTGGCGACTGTCCCACTCGCGCCACCGTCTCTCAGCAGCCGGCCAGCGGTTTGATCAACTTCCTGGTCTTCAAGTGGGCCGAGACTAGCCTAAAGGTTCAGGGGAGCAGAGAATAGGCGGTACCGGACACGGAGTAACTTGGAGGACCTAGGGAAAGACGTCTCAAGGACTACAAGTCCCAGAATGCTTTGTTCTGTTTCGGCGGGACCAGAAAAAAATCCTCGCGGCTTGTTGGCGCATTGCATGTTGGGATGCGTGAGCTATTTTCCTTGGAAGGGAGCGAACTGTATTCTGGGACTTGTAGTGTCCGCCGGGTAGAAGCGAATGTAACGGTCTGTTTACTGCCGCTGATTATCTCATTCAGCATCTGTGATAAGCTAAAGATGAATCCCGAAGAGGTAGGGGAAAGGAGATCTTGAATTCTAGTGCTGGAAGAGGTTTTCAGCACGGAGACTCTACAGTTATTTCTACGTGGGAGCCGCTAATAGCCAAAATCTTTCTTACTTCCTGATTGGACAGGAAGTGGGTGTCAGTTGCTCTGAAAAGGGATGTCATGGGAAGCCCGTAAGGTAGTAAGGCATGGCATGCGGAGGGCTTTTTGGCTTTCTCGTCTCCTAAGGGATTCGGTCCAGCACAGCTTACCACCTTGGAACGAATATTTCTGTTAATGGCCTTCAAAAACAACTTAGAGCAGGAGAACTTTTCCTGTGTCTAATGTATACAGTTGTGACATAATGGAGATCGCCATCCTTAAAAGTGTTATCTTAAGCCCTCTGGTGTTCGATCGTGTCATGGATGCCAGTAACAAAACTGATGATTTTGTTTTATCCACCCATCCCTCCGATCAAATTTATAGGTACTAATTTGCCATGAGTGATCCGTAGGCATGGAAGATACAAAGATAAACAGCTCACCTGACCTGTGAGGGAGCCTATCCCTGAATTTGCAATTACAAACTCACTAAACCTCTTGTCAAAGTTGGTGACAAATGCCATCTCTATTGAGAAGATAGGATTATCTTGCCGAATTGCCCCCCCCCCAACATGCCTATTTATCTTTAAACTCCAGTCTTGTCTAGTTGATGTAGGCTTTAGAATCACCAGACAATGAACAGCTTAGGTCCCAGGAAAATTTTGGTCAGGGTTTAATAATTTCCCTGCCGTCTATTTCACTCCAGTTACTCCACAGCAATTGAGAGGATAATCCTAACATTTTCCCAGGCACATCTAGTACACTGAGGTCTCACTTCCTCTGTGAAGCCTTATGAATTCTCCAGAGTTGATTATCTCTTTTCCCTATGCTCCCATAGCACATCATAGCATTGAATATGTTGAATTGTCGATTTACATAACTTTCTCCCTTAGTAAGTTGTAAGCACCTAGTGGGCCAGGAGCTTCTTTATTTCTGTATCTGAAACTCATAGCAAGGTGCCAGGCACACAATAGATGCTCAATATCTATATTACTGAATTAACTGAATGTTGCCCAAGGAATAAGTGGTGAAACTTTCTTGCAGTCTTGTTTACAGACCTCAAACGAAATATTTATACACTCTCTGTGAGAGCAGTGTGCGTGGCATGGGCTGATGGTACGGTAGAGGTTTTCAAACGTTTTAGTAACATTGCTTCTTTCAGACAAACTCTTAGAAGCCTGTTAGATAAAGCTATCCAGAGCACAAAGGGCCCTAGGAACCTGAGCACCCCCTAACTCCTACTTTTCTGCCCCTTCCCCCCCCCCCCCCCCGTTAATATCTCAGCATCGCGATCCAGGCTTCTGATTTGCAGGGCATCCTCCCCTGGCAGGGTGCCGCGCCGCACCCAGCGCCTAGGCCCCGCCCTTGCGCCTCCGCCCCTCGGATCCCACGGGGTCCCTTGCGGCCCTCCCACTCCTCGCACCGTTGGATCGCTTTGCTCACGGCGCTATCTCTCGATAAAGTTGTTGTTGCGGCTTCCGCCGCGAGTGGAGGAAGATGGCGTCGGGTGGTGGTGGTTGTAGCGCGTCGGAGAGACTCCCTCCGCCCTTCCCCGGCCCGGATCCGGAGTCCGAGGGGGCGGCCGGGGGATCAGAACCCGAGGCTGGGGACAGCGACACCGAGGGGGAGGACATTTTCACCGGCGCCGCGATGGTTGTGAGTTCTCACCCCTCGGGGTAGCAGGCGAGAGGGCACCCCAAAAGGGAAGCGAGGCTAAGCGAGAATCGGGGAGGTTGGGGAGAGTGGGCCCGGTGAGATCTTGCCTCGGTGTCAGCAGTCCGGGCCCGGGGACCCTGGATGTGCTCAGAGCGGTAGGGCCTGGCTTCCCGGCCCCTAGTCGGGAATAGTAAAGAATAAGGGTTGTGGTGCCTTCGTCAGCTAGGTCCCTAATAGCCAAGAGCCGCCGACGCCGTCCTTTGACCCTGCAGTGTGGTGACTGCACGGATCCACGGAGTTATTTTGCTGGTCTTGTCCTGCCAAGGCTGATTTAGTCGGTCAGAATAAGCGAATGGGATCCAGACCTTTCTCCAGTCTTACTCCTTCTAAGATGAATAACGTTACGTGGAGTAGCCTGGGGTGGTGACCCGCCCACCAATTCTTTCATTAGCCCGGCATTTACCGACAATAACCAAAGGCCCTTTCTGGATCTTACTTTACAAAAGTTGTGATTCTTCCGATCTCTGGGAAAATCAGGCCAGAGATCAGAGGCTGGTGGAGAGGTTCTGCCAGATAAACCACTATACGGATCAGAAAGCTTTCTTCCTTTTAAAGGGATGCGTTCAAGTGCCCAAGTACCTCGTTGGGAGCAAATCTGAAATGTGAGGAGGTAATGGTATTTTCCCGTAGTGTTAGTAATAGGAGGGCCTTGACTGTAAGTCCGGGTTCTTGGCGTTTTGAACAAATAATTGGACAAAACGCACAAAATAACAAAGGAATGAAACAGAAACGTAGCAGCGAAAGCAGGAATTTATTAAAGGGAGAAAGCACTCCACAGAATGGGAGTGGGCCGGAGCAAGGGGCTCAAGAGCCCACTTACAAAGTTTTCTGGGTTTTAAGTGCTCCTTTTGGGGTTCCTATGGGTTACCCCTTATCTAGATAAAGGATTTGGTATGTGGCTAATTAAAGGCTGTGGTGAATTAGCGTCCTGTACAGATGAACGAATGGTCCCTGCTTGGCCCGGCCGATCTAAGGCACTCTTCCTTTCCATCTGAGAAGTGGTGGAAGAGGAGGGTTGCAGGGATAGAGCCTTTGACCCTTTGCCATTTGGTTGTGGGGGTTTTTCCTTTTGGTTTAGCTTTAGGAAGTTGTCCTTAATTGGCCTTAGGTTCCCTTAGATTCTCTGTCCTCTGGGAAGTCAGCACGAGTTGGCCTTAGATTCCTTGTCCCCAGACCTTGATGTTTACTATTTTAGAAAGTTAGCATATCCCAGCACTTTGGGGGGCCGAGGTGGGTGGATCACGAGGTCAGGAGATCGAGACCATCCTGGCCAGCATGGTGAAACCCCGTCTTAAAAAAAAAGAAGAAAGAAAGAAAAAAAAAAGAAAGAAAGCATAAATTGGCCTCAGATTCCCTGCCCCTAAACCTTAGTGTTTTTCCTTGATTCAGCACAAATTGCCCTTAAGTTCCCTGCCTCCAGACCCTATTCTCCTGCCTCAATAATAAATATCCGGGTCTCTAACGAGAGTTAGGTGGAAAAAAACTATTCTTTGTAATGTGGAAATCAGTAATCAGTTATGGAACCAGTAGAGATGTTTTGGCCTGTTTTATGAGAATGTTTACTCATACCACTTGGAACAGGTTGTTCTATGCGTAAAATTCAATGCTGGGCCTGTGAATTTATCTGTTTTGCATAATGCTTCTCTTCTTAGTAGCTACTCAGTGGGCAACCAACTAAATAAAACAGCTATAAATTCTTTATGCAACATGTGGTCTGAAAAAGTTTGAGGCTTTCTTCATTTATGTCAGATTTTCACTGTCCTGTATTCAGAAATTGAGTCCATAATTTCAGCTTATAAGGTGATTGATAATTCTAATAAAACAACTAAAACTGTCAAATGAAGTCTTATTCTGAAAAATAACTTTTTGCGACTGTCATAAAACAGGAAAAACTTTTTGTTTGTTTTTGGAGATGTAGTCTCCCTGTGTTGCCCAGGCTCGTCTTGAACTTCTAGGCTCAATAGATCCTCCCTTTCTCCCAAGTAGCTGGGACTGCAGGTGCATGCCACTCGCCATGAGAAATAATAGTTCTTGAAGCTGGTTTAGTCTTTTTGCATGTTAAAATATTTAGTCTCTTCCTTAAAACCGCTTGAATGATGTACAGACTGAGAATATGAAAACAGAAACTCTGACACTGAAAGTGATTGGTTACATAGGCAAACAATTTATTTTCCAAAAAGGAACTGGGAAGAGTGAGGAGTTATTTTCTAGAGTTATCTAAAGCAGTAGCCAAGTGCGGTGGCCCACACTTGTAATCCCAGCACTTTGGGAGGCCAAGGCAGGAGGATCACCGGAGGCCAGGAGTTCGAGACCAGCCTGGCCAACATGGCGAAACCCCATCTCTACTAAAAGTACAAAAATTATCCAGGCATGGTGGTGTGCACCTGTAATCCCACATAGGGAGGCCGAGACACAAGAATCACTTGAACCCCAGAGGCAGAGGTTGTAGTGAGCCAAGATTGCACCACTGCACACCAGCCTAGGCGACAGAGCAAGACTCTGTCTCTAAATAAATAAATAGAATTTTAAAAAAAGAAGTACAGGAGGCTTCAGTTTAATTCATCTTACCATACTTTGTGGAGTTATCAATACCTCTTTTTTTGTAAGACTGTAAAAATCCTTTGTCTAAGGCCGGGCGCGGTGGCTCAAGCCTGTAATCCCAGCACTGTGGGAGGCCGAGGCGGGTGGATCACGAGGTCAAGAGATCGAGACCATCCTGGTCAACATAGTGAAACCCCGTCTCTACTAAAAATACAAAAAATTAGCTGGGCATGGTGGCGCGTGCCTGTAATCCCAGCGACTCAGGAGGCTGGGGCAGGAGAATTGCCTGAACCCAGGAGGCAGAGGTTGCATGAGCCGAGATCGCGCCATTGCACTCCAGCCTGGGTAACAAGAGCGAAACTCCGTCTCAAAAAAAAAAAAAAAAAAAAAAAAATCCTTTGTCTAATTTCCAGCTAAAAGGGAGGTTAGGAGGTCAGAATGACCTTGTTCTACCACAGAAAGCATAATTATTTTTATTTAGATATGATCTAAGAAAAC